TGAGTCCGGACACCTCCACCTGGTTTAGTAGATCCAGTCTACACCAGCAACTTGGCCAACAACATCTCGCAACCTGTGGTTTACCAAGAACTCAGCTCGGATTTATTTAGGAGGCTTTCAGCCTGAAGCTGGTTCGCCTGGATCAATACTACTTAACCCCAGTTGAAAAGGCCAGTGCTCTTGGTCAACACTTTGTGAATTCACCATTGTAAATCCCCACGAGCCTGCCGTATTGGAGGTAATGTCTAGAGTCACTACCATCCCCGTAGTTGTCCCTGATGAAAGTAGAATTTCTCGAAGCTGTTTGAAAGTTGATACTCAGTCGTCTGCTGGTATTTTCAAATGATAATAACATCTTCCTTAAAGAGCAATTCGGATTTAGGAAAGGCCACTCTACCATAAACCAACTCGCACGGGTTACTAACATCATCAAGCGGAACAAGTCCGTTTTCAAAACATCTGCCGTTGAGAAGGCGTTCGACAATGTCTGGCATGATAGCCTCGTGTACAAGCTGCATCGATACCTTCCTTAAGATCATCAAAAACTACTTGTCGGGCAGATCTATTCAGATCTTCTTGAACAATTCACCTTCTGATACGTTCAACGTTGATGCTGAAGTTCTCCATGGTAACCTCCTTGGCCCTATCTTCTTCAACATCTTCACGTCAGATGTTCCTTCTCTTCTGGATGGTGGTATTTTGTCAATGTTTGCGGATGACACTGCCATCATCTATAAAGGTCGAATGACGTCGAATGAAACTCAAATCAGGCCTGGATGTTCTGTCCGACTATTTCAAAGGCTGGAAATTTTGTATCAATGCAGCTAAAACACAAAACATACTATTTCTGCACTCCAATTCACCTTGACTTATCCCGCATGGTAACTTGAAAGTACACCTTGATAGATAAGGTGGGGCAAAAGTTCAAGTGGGTTAAAAGCTCGTTTTGTAGTTTTTTCAACACAGCCTACCGTGAAATTGGCAACACTGGCATGGATAAGTAAGTGTTTTGACAGCTTCCCTTCAGATGTAAACATTGCTTGTTTAGATTGCGTGTGGTTGGAATAATGAGGTAACATTGTTTTTCTCAAGAAAAATGTAATATTTTTGTTTATGGCAAACGTGTTTTAGTAAACAAAACTGCAGATTTTGGAAAAGTGTAATTGTGCCTTGTTTAAGCAGTACCAATAACTAAAAGATGTTGTGATACAAATTTCAAAATATTTTCATAACTCTGCACGATTTAGTGTAAACTTCAAGAATGCGTAGTGGGGCAAAAGTTCGAGTCAGAATAATTACGCATTTGTATTCTACAGGACTCACAAACGAAAATCAGAGCGGAAGGTGTGCTCTTCCGATATGCTGGAAATCGCCCAGCAAAGGCTTACTAATGGCAAATCCAAATGCGCTATTGCCAAAAGTTTCGGAATTACGGAAACTGCATTGCGCCAAAGACTAAAGAAGGTAAATTTATCTGAGTTGTTAACGGCAAATCGTAGTTTAATTTGTTGTCTTTCCTTTTAAGGACTACGGCTTCAATCTTTACCGAAGAGCAAAAAAAGAACTAGCGGGACATTGCAAGAATCTCGATGACTCCTTCTACGGATTATCGCTGATGGATCGCCGAAGAGCAGTTTTTCAGTACGCCGAGGCAAACAAGGTCGCACATGGATTTCATCCGAAATCCACGATAGCTGGTAAAGAATGAACGCTTTCTTTCATGCGTAGACACAGCTTGTCGCTGTGATTTCCCCAACAAACCAGTCTTGCTAGGATGATGGGTTTCAACCGGGTGCAGATGAACAAATTTTTCGACAACCTAAGCGATGTGACAACAAAACTTTATACCAGATCGGATCTACAATATGGATGAAACAGGCATGTCCACAGTGCCCAACAATGTCCCGAAAGTCGTATCTACATCCGGAAAGAAAGCGGTTGGGAAAATAAGCTCGGCTGAGAGAGGAGAGCTGATCACAGCGGTATGCGTGATGAGTGCTGTTGGGAATTACTTGCCACCGGTCCTGATCTTCAAGAGAAAACGCCAAAAGCCAGAGCTACTCAACGGGGCACCTCCAGGAACAGAAATGTTCGTCTCTGATTCAGGATACATAAACTCGGATCTTTTCTTCCAATGGACACAGCATTTTCAGAAACACACCAACGCAACGAAGGAGAACCCGGTCTTGCTCATTTTGGACAATCACAGCACGCATCAATCGTTGGAAACAGTTCTCTACTGTCGAGAAAGTGGGATTATGTTGCTGTCTATCCCACCACACAGTAGCCACAAAGTCCAACCGGCCCTCAAGACCAAATATGCTGAAGCTTGTAATCATTGGCTTGTGTCTCATCCTAGAAGGGATTGGAGGCGAACCAGCCTCAGGCTGAAAGCCTCCTTAATAAAGATAAATCAATCAATCAATCATCCTGGAAGGGTCATTACCCAATATCAAGTGACTGAACTGTTTGGGATGGCTAACTGCAGATGTGCAACAATTGAAAAAGCCGTCAACGCTTTCAGGATGTGTGGCATTGTACCTATCAACCCTGGAGTGTTTACAGACCAAGATTTTGCCCCAAGTGAAGTGACAAATATTGAGCAATCGAAAGAAAACGTTGTGCCGGAAGCCACAACCTCCGTCTGTACAGATGCAACGGAGCTTCCCTCACCGATGGCAGCACTCGTGGAATCATCCGATAACATTACCTCAAATTATGAGAAGGGATCTGTAAAACGAAATACCGCTTCGAAAATCGATAATCAGCCATTAAGCATTAAATCGAATGTGACACTTCAACAGACACTGTCAAGCACATCCAGTAAACGGAAGAAACTTTTCAAGGAAGCACAGCATACTAATAAGAGAGTTAAGATTGAGAAACATTAAAATTGTACCATGCGACTATATGCATAACTGATGTAACTTTCAAATTACTTTACGAACTTTTGCCCACGACATTCGATCTTTTGCCCCATTGGTGGGGCAGAAGTTCGTTTCGAGGGCTTTTATGAAATAATATTTCTAACACCGAAATGGTTACTTGAATGAGCCTGTATTTTCTCAGTAGGGAGATTAATAGTTGCTGAATAAAGCAGCATACTTTCCTTGTTATAATTTTGTTAATATATAACATATTTAAAAAAAATAAAAGACCAACTTTTGCCCCGCCTTACTCTACTACTCCCATTGAATGGTCGAGTGAAGTCGTCTACTTTGGTCTCACCCTTGATAGAAAGTTGTTGTTCAAATGTGGACAAAACATCTACCAAGTGCAACATCTTGATAAGGTCGGTCTACTCACTTATCAAGAGAAAGTCCTCCCTTTCCCTTAAAAACAAGCTTGCCGTCCACCAGCACATCATCCTCCCTGCCATTGAGTACGGAACGCCAATCTGGGAGAGCTGCGCTAAGTGCCATCACCTTCAACTCCAACTCCAACAAGATCCTTATGATGTTCCTCACCAGTCCCCCGCGGACTCGAAATTCTGAGATCCACCATCCTCGAAAGGTTCAGAGACGCCTGTCTGAGATCAAATCATCTAATCATGCGCGATCTTGCATTCGGTTAAGTTATTCGTAGTTAGGTAGGTTATCATATTTTTTTTTAAATTAAATCTAAACGCACCTTGTTAACTAGTTAAAAAACGTAAACACGTAAGGGGTTTGTTCATAAACTACGTAGACAGTTTAGGGAGGGGAGGTGTTGAGAATTATCCACGGCCCATACAAATTTTAATTTTTTTGTTTGGACAATTGTCTACGCAGGGGGATGGAGGGGGGTCAAGAGTCCTAAAAAAACCGTCTACGTAGTTAATGAACAGCCCCTAAATTAGAATAACAAATTAAAGAAATACTAAGAGTCCTTTATGTTAATCAATCGAAGTGTACGAAATATGTAAAATCATAATCAATGGAAAATAAAACGCTATGCTACTACTACTTCAGTAGCAACCGGGGCCTCCCTTAGTTCAGTCGGTAAAGGCGCAGCTACAAAGCAAGATCACGCTGGAGGTAGCTTGGCTCAATTCCCGGTCCGGTATAGTAATTTTTCGGGTCGGAAAATGTCTCGCCTCCCCTGGGCATAGAGTGTATAATTGTACTTGCCACACAATTATACTAATGCAAAAATAGTACAGGCTTCGAAAGCTCTCGATTAATTACTGTAAAATGCATCTTAGAACACAAAGTTTAAAGCACGCAGTAAGCTAATCTGTGATAAGCGAAAATAAGAATAAGAAGAAGAACCCGTTCGCAGGTAGCCTTCCACTACTCGGTCAATTCAGAAGAACTTGATCGAGCCAACTCTATTAAAGACCTAAGAGTGACGATAGTAAGCTGAATTTCAACGAAGATATTTCAAAACCCTCCGCTAAAGCTTTTGCTGTCGTTGGTTTTATTCGCCGAAACTGTGCCGATATTTCAGTGATATTCAGGCACTGAAAGTGCTGTACTGCTCCCTGGTGTGCAGAATTCTTGAATACGGAGTTTAAGTATGGGCTCCTTATCATGCCGGCAAGAAAGAGTTCACCGTTATTTCATCAGATTTGCTTTGCGGAATCTGCCGTCCCTCTTCCACTGCCTCCATACGAACACCGATGTCAACTGATAATTCTACAGCCTCTGAACCAGCACAGGGTTTACTTGCAGAGATTGTTAACATTTGACGTATTAAGTAACCGCTTGGACTGTGTACATCTTCTGCAACAAGTAAACTTTGATGTTCCTACACTGAGGAAATTATCTCTACAAATTTCATAAACTCCATCGTATGAACGCATGGAAATATAAGCCTGAACCAATTTCATAAGTATCTTATGTTTTCATACTCCATTTATGGTATTCATAATTCGATACAATAAAAAGTGTACGGAAAACATTCAAATTTCATAAACCCATCGTATGAATTATTTTGGCGCAGCTTATGGCAAAAAATCATACGATCATCTTATGAACACTATTATGACAGTGCAAATCAAAACATCAACAAAACCCAAGATGGCGGATCCAGTTTCACGACGTGGCGCAAGAATTCGCAAACCCGTAAGTAACATTTAAATCTTATTGTTCAATTGAAGTCTACATTTTTATTTACATTTGCAGACACCTAAACTAGCTGCTGCTACTTCTGCGTTACCAATATCCGCTTCATCAACACGCCGAAAGTTACAACCTGATCGGGTAAGTGTCAGATTCAATTTTTGTTTTAATAATTTAATGCATAAGTAAAAATATTTAAATAGGAAGCGGACTCTATGATTGTATCAGCAAACAAGAGGACCCGAAAAATCGTAAGTATAAAGATCCCAGCTGATTCGTTATTTTTACTATTTTCGTTTACAGAAATCGGAATCACCTTCAATAACGGAATCAATTTTGACACCAGCCGCAGCTCCAGTTATTCAGCTGGAATCAACAATTCCTGCTGTGTTGAAGGCAACAGAGTTGAGAGTATATGAAGTTCTTCAAACAAGAAATACGCTGAGGTCCCTGGAAAATGTAAGGCAAAACAACAAAAATCAATGCTGAAAAAACTAATCAATATAATTTTTTCTTAGCTACCACAAATTGACGTGCTGGGAAAGCTTTTAAGTAAAGCTGACAAAGCTGTACCTATTTCTCCAGCTCTACCTTCGCCGATAGCATCAGTCACAGTAAACACGACCTGCCTCGGGGTTTCACCATTCTTTGTAGCTACTTCGCCTGATAGAGTTGCTTCCCCTATTGAATCAACGTCGAAGGCTAGTGCAACAAACGGGTTGACGAATTCCGTCGAATTTTCTAAAGTTACAGGTCGAGTAACTTCACGGATTGCAGCAGGGTTAAGAGCTATCACAGCGAACGATTCCACGGGTTCCGCAGATGATTCACCAATCAATACAGCTGCCTCAACGGACCGAGTAGCATCCTTGGTTGCATCAGCATCGCAAATTTCAACTGATCGAATCGAAGATTTACCAGTTCTGACAGTTGCATCGGCTGATCGAGTAGCATCCCCGATTGCGACAAAAGCTAATGCAACGACGGTTTTGAAGGATTGCGTTGAACTTTCCCCAGTTTCAGCAGCTATATCGGCCGATTCAGTACCCACACCGATTGCATCAAAACCAAAAGCTGCCACAGCAAACGTTTTGACGGGTTTTGTCGATGTTTCTCCAATTCACACCGTAAGTTAGTTTAATGAATTTGAAAAACCATTGGACTAAATATTTTTAATTTTTTTTAGCAACCTGCATTTGAATATCAGATTTCAGCTGATTTGCTGAAATCCTTACTGCACGGAACAGTAATCGGACCACCACCAGCTGCGAAAGCTGCATTAGTTTCAGCCTTATGCCTCCAAGCTGTGTCAGGCAAGAGTTTTGAAAACAGCATCATTTCACCAGCTGAAGTATCCTACCGAGTGAATCCAGAATGTCAAAACAATGCAGACACTTCTGGCCATGAACCTGTAGAAACAGAAACGAATGTTCCGGAAATTGTAAGTACATTGATTGAAATACAAATGGCATAATAATAACTTAATTTATTAGGAATCCCAAATTGGTCATAAAATTCCTTTTGATTTGTTCGGAGCGCTCCTAGATGGAACGGTCATCAGACCAGAAATACTAACTAGAACTGAGCAAACTGCAGTGGGTATAACAGCTGATCAAGCTACACCATTAGCTTCTGCTTTTCCAACGGTTAAGCAATCTGGCTTTTATGTAGAAAACGTTGACCTGACCTTAGCTTCTACATCGAATCCTGTTGCTTCACCTTCCCAGTTGGTACTAGAATCAGCTGCATCGATCTCTAGTGACACGGATAGTAATATCGGCCCGGAAAATCCGGAAGAAACACCAAACTCATCGAACCCACAGGTGTGTACCACATAGAAAAAATATCATCCCTGTCCTATCTACTCTTCTGAGTGACACGGATAGTGATACCGGCCCGAAAAATCAGGAAGAAACACCATCCGAAACACCTATCTCTTCAGACCAACATGTGTGTGCTTTTTGTGGTTTGTGTGTTTTCTTCTGATTTGCCAGTACACAACTGTTTTTTTTTGCACTGTAAAAATCTGCATAGTAAATTGTGTATACAAATTCAAATTCAAAAATCTTCATGAAAACGTTGCATTATGTTGCTTTATGTCTATTTACGTCGTTTAAATGAACCGATTATATATTTTTTTAAAGTAAAACTAAAAATACCTTGCATAGCATAAATTAACAGGAATAATTTGAATGATTTCAAAGAATCCATGCTTTTTCTCTCCGTGCGTGCACTTAAACGCGAAGCACACTTCGATTTGTTTTTGTTTACAAGTTGCTGTTTGCTTCAGAAGTTGTTTTTAGTGATTGCTTAAAATGTAATTTGTAATTTGTAAAATGTACTCATTTATTTATATAAGAAAAACTTTTATGGCACACTTATCGTAAGTATTAATTTTAAATTTGTATTTATAGGCATTTTCCGGTTACCACTTTTCACCAGAAGTGCTAAAAAGGCTACTGAGTGGGACCGTTATCGGAACTAAGATTCTTTCCAACGCTGAAGCTGTAGAGCTCACGGAAGCTAGCAGGAAGCTTGTCACAGACGTCATTGCCCGGTATCACCTGGAAATTAACCGAAAATCTTCTTTTGAAGTATTGGATGAGTACGCTGAAGTTATCATCAAGATATTCAAGAAGGAAAAGAAGGTAAACAAACATAATATCTTATAACGTTCTGAAAATATCACCTTGTTTATAAATTTCTACAGAGTACATATTGCTCACATAGAAAGCACCGCAATCCAGGGGGAAAGTTATACAGCCGTATCAATTACATCAGGCAATCAGAAAGAAAGAGGATAAAAGAAGAGGACGATCATGTTAAAGGGATTAAGCAACCGGACACTAACACGCGAGTAGCAAATCCGGAAGCTTTGAATGCTATTTCCTGGTTGCAACTGAACAGATCTCCTTGGTCAAGTGTGCTCGTGCAATGGGAAATCTCCTTTCCAGAGAGATGCCGTGATCTGAAAAATTCAAATAAGTTTTCTTCGGTTTTGGAATCTTATCCTCACTTGTCTGACGAAACGGGTTATCAACTGGTAAGAATTTGATTGACAATTGATTGTGGATTGACACTAATTTTATATGATTTTAGCTGGATATTGATTTTCGCTTATTGGGATACGGAGACCCAGCTGTCGGCGAAAGGAAGTGGAGAACATTGATAGATGACATCGCGTTGTATATTGCGAAGCACGCTAAGGATCCATCAGCAAAAGAGTTGCTACAAATACTACGCAATCCGGATTACGGAATAGGTAAGCACCAGACAATTTTCCTAAAGCTAATAGAGGAGTGTACTGCCAGTGGACGCATAATTGTCCCATATGACATTTCAACAATTTTGAAATTTTAAAGCTTACCTCCATAATTCATATGTATATACTTTTAGACTATTACATAAACACATAAACATAAACGGTGAGTCGATTTGTCCCACTTAAATTATGGACGCGTATGTCCCACTGGAACTAAAAATTGTTCTAGTGGGATAAATATGCGTCCATTATTTAAGTAAGACGAATCGACATACCACTTTTTTCGAGATTTGCGTTTTGTAACATGGGACAGTTACGCGTTCACCAGCAGTGCAACTCATTGCCAAATTAAACACACCCATACTTTTTACGTAACTTATTGAACTGTAGGGGTAAGAAAGGCATAGCGAACAAGTAGGGCATAGTGAGTATCCTGTGCTCCAACTTGGACTTCCGGCCGTTCGTAACAAGTTGGTTGGTGGCAGGATCAATATCATAATTACTACTACCAGTTGATTTGTTTCCAACTAGTGGAGATCCAGAGCCAAAGTGCAGGATGCTCACTATGCTGCACCTGTTCACTATGCCCATCCTTCCCCTACTCTTAAAGACCAATGCACATAAGTGATATCGCGGTGGGTGATGTCATCCACTCACCGCCATTTCTCAGCAGTCTTTCAACCAATTATGCTGATTTTTTTAGGGAACACCGGAAGATTTTTGTTAAGATGATATATGTAAAGTGAAGAAATAGATCAAATTATAATTTAATTATTGAATAAAAAAAGGATTGATTCAGTCAACTCTCTAAAACTCGATGTCTAGAGTTTCGGAAGCATAGTAAAAATGGATTTCATAGCTATGCTATCATGCTGAGATACTATGCTAGATTTAAGACTAAAAAAAAAAAAAAAAACAAAATCACGGTCTCCCTGTGCAGATTTTTTTTTTTTACTGAGCTGCAGCTAAAAAGTCAGTTAATTAAAAAAAAATGGTTAAAACTCTTAACAACTTATTACGCATTTTACACCAAATTAGACTACTGTACAAAAAATAGTTGCACAGTAATATTTTCATACAGTTGAAGAATCAACTTATTTGATAATAGTAGCAGCTATAGAACAGTACTGACAAGCTGCACTGTTGAATTTTAGCTCTAGAAAACTTAAGAAGATCAATATTTAATTTTTATGACCAGTGCGAAAAGATTACTGTGTACTTATTTTTAGCACAGTAGTCTAATCAGGTGTTAAATCCGCAATATGTTTTTCCTGAACTTATGTCGTTTTAGTTTTTGCGGTGTAGCACTGGTGTAGTGTAAGCAGGAATAAACACGAGTCTTTGACAGCTCAACATCATTTGTTTGTAAACAAAGGTGCATCCTATATCTACACCCTAAAATATTTCGGTGTACGGCAGTGTAGCACCGGTGTAGCTACACCGCAAAAACGAAAACGTCATTATACAGACGATGTTCTTTTATTGTTGCCTGATAATAAAAAAATAAAATTTGTTAAAATAGTTTGTTAGTGAAAAAATTACTGACACCTGTAAAATAATCTATGTGTGTACTGCCTATTGCCCATTGGTCCAGAGAGCAAATTTAGCTGCAAAGATGGATTTTGAGCTTGAAATTTAAACTTTAGCAAAAAGTTGTCTTCAGCAAAGTTGGTGCTATTAGTTAGGCGCTTATTTTAGTGTCAAGAGATACTAGGGTGGTCCTTATTATCAATAAAATCAAAAATCTAACTTTCTTATTTTAAGAGATAGAGGCATTTATTCTTCGGCAAGGTTGTAGCTTAGTAAATTTCAACCAACTTAAAAAAAAAGTTTTAAAAAAGTTGGAAAATAACCGATCTTGAGAATTTTTTTATATGTTGACCTAGGGTGTTTCTAAAAAGATCAGTTATTTTACTCTAACTTTCTTACTTTAATTTTTATGAAAAAGTCGTCTTCTAATGAATTTTAGATCTGTTCAAGACGCAACTTTTGACGCTAGAGGACTGTGAAAATATTGACCTGTGAAGAGTACTTAAAGTTTTTCTATTAAAAATATTCCCTTTTCAAATTTTACCATCTCTCATTGGGGCAAAAAAAACAAAAGTTCATTTCATGACATTTGAAGAACGCATTTTATTCTCATTATTATTCAAAAATAAGAGGTATGTTATTTTTTAAACTCGTATAAAATCAATTTGAATTTGTTCATTTTTTTATTATAATTGGGTATATATTTTTTATTACAAGAGATACAGACAACAACTTTTCCTATAAAACATGCGTCTTGAGGAGCTTTAAAAGTCTTTCCAATTTTCATAATTTTCATGGGAAACTTGAAATAAAAAAGTTATCGGCAAAAAATGGTTTTCATCGGACCACTCTAATGACAGATTTAAATAAAATGTGCTTGTACATTTGTTTCAATATTTGAACTTTTAGTGTCTTCGGAGAAGTTTTATGCTTAAAAATTTTATTCTTTTGGTGTATTCATACGTCAGGGTGGTCCTCAAATTAGATGATATTTTAAAACTAAATTTTTTATTTTACAAAATAAAGACATGCACGCATAGAAATTTTTACAGAAATCTGTAAAATTTTACCGAAATCTCAACAGCTGAATGTTCGGTAAACAGTTTCGCATATTTCCTGTAATTTTTCACAAATATCTGTGAATTTTCCTCAGATATCTGTAAATAATTACAGGAAAACTGTAAAATTGTTTACCGACCGTTCAGCTGTTGAGATTTCCGTAAAATTTTACAGAGATCTGTAAAATAATCTTAGTGTGTGTGTTGTTCAAAAAAGATGTAGCTGAGTTAATTTCAAGCAACTTTGTAGCAAATAGTTTTTTTTTCTATCTCTTAACGTTCTCGTTTTAGAGTAATTTTTCGAAGTTGACTTAGGATATTCCTGGAATATTTTTTTAGCACTAACTTTTTTATTTCAAATTTCTCATGAAAGTTATCTTTCAGAGACTTTAAAAGCTCTTCAAGACGCATGTTTAGGAGGAAAAATTGTAGCCTGTATCGCTTGTAATAAAAAAGATACACCCAATTATAGTATAAAAAAATTATCAATTCAAATTGGTTTTATACGAGTTTAAAAAAATAGCATATCCCTAATTTTTTGACATTATTGAGAACAAAATGCGCTCTTTCAAATGTCATAAAACGATGATTTTTGCCCCAATCAGAGATATTAACATATGAAAAGGGCATATTTTTAAAGAAAAACTTGAATTACTCTTCACATGTTAAATAGTTTTACCACAAACGAAGTGACAGACGGAGCGGCTCGAAAACTTTGGTGACTAACCTGCTATTTCAATTTTTCAGTGTACCACATGGCAACACCACTACTACTGGATTGTACCACATGGCAACGCTACTACTGGATTGTACTAGCATTTTCACCAAATGTATTAGAATGTTTTGGTTCTATCTCTTTCACTCTACTCAAAACTGAAATGCATAAAAAAAATTACAAAATGATACACTCTTTGCACACTGCCAAAGAATCATTGTACACAAAATCAACTTTGTTCAAATCAAAACAAAAAAACTAACCCATCTGGTGGATGATGGCACAAGCTTCCAAGAAAATTCTATTACAGTGAACCACATTATTTTAATGGATTTCTTCGCCAGTTAGTCGTCTGTCACTTCGTTTGTGGTTTTACAAACAGCGTCAAAATGTGCGTCTTGAACAGATCAAAAATTTATTAGAAGACCACTTTATCATAAAAATTAAAACAAGAAAGTTAGAGTAAAATATCTGATTTTATTTTATTTTATTTATTTTTGCTTTATTATAGAGACTTTCAGCCTGTAGCTGGTTCGTCTCTTGATTTTACTTTAGAGACACCCTAGGTCAACATATAAAAACTGCTCTAAATCGGTTATTTTCCAAGCTTTTTAAAACTTTTTTTTAAGTTGGTTGAATTTTAATAGGCTCCAACTTTTTTATTGATAATAGTGGTTCTTATCTTATCTAGTATCTCTTGACACTAAAGTAAGCGCATAAGTAATGGCATCAACTTTTGCTAGAGTTTCAATTTCAAGCTCAAAATCCACCTTTCCAGCTAAATTTGCTTTCTGGAACACTGTGCATTGAAATTCCTCATGAGGGGTGACATTGAACCAAAACAATAAATTTGGTTTAATTGTCTTAAAATATGGTAAATGTCACGTAGATATTAGGAGTACAAATATGTGCTTACCAATGGAAATTTTTAAATAACGCTTTTTTCTTGTATTAACGGTACTTAACTTTACAACACTATTTAAACAAAGCTACTTGTAAATTTATTATACGCTTTACTCCAGGAGTTCAAGAAACATGTTTTGGCCATCATTTTCTTTATATTAAAGATATTTGCTACATAAAACATTTTTAATTCTTGGCCTAATGTCACCCCCACTTACGGTATTCAATAACCAAGAATTCTTCAATTGCACAAGAGCTTAAATTACTTTTTGTTAGAATAGCATTTGTTTGAATAACCTGTTAATAAATTAAATTTGGTTTGGTTTATTTTCAGATGTTCGTCTATGCGTTACGCTTCTTGGATTGAATACGGTGCTTATACCTGTAAAAGCAGCAAAAGGGTTCAAACCGACTGTGGCCACAGCGCAAAATGAAACGTTTTGGCTTTGCCTGGATGGAAATGCAGCCCAATCTAAACTAGAAGCTGAGCGATCTCTATGGAATAAGCAAGCAGAGCCGGAAATTCCAAAGCTGATCGTGTTTGGAGCTAGCCTCGAAACAGTATCGCCAACTTGCTTCGTAACTTACAAAGATATTGGATATAAATTATCAAGTATTTCTCGAGGAGTGGATGTACTTTTGAAGCTGATTCTAGTTTTCCATCTTCCAGTTTCAAAAATTTCGAAACTTGTGTGGTTATTCATTCAGCAGTTCGTGTATGGAGTGAATGCAGATTATACGTACGTCAACGTGACTAAACTTACGGAATATCTCGACAAAAAGCAAACATGTTAATTAACTGTTGTATTGAAACATGTACGAGAAAGTTCTCGTCAGCAAGCGATCTTCTTGAACATGTAAAAAATATTCATAAGACTCCAGCAAGTTATAATTACAAATGTACCTTCCCGCAATGTATTCAGGTTTTTAGTAAAGTATATACATTTAAGAGGCATCTTATTAATCATAACTTTGAAAGTTCTTCAAATCCTGTGACACACAATACTGAGCCTGAACACTTTGAACCAAACGTGCAACCACACGAATTGTTCGAACATACGGCTGAATTTCGAGAAAATAATTTGGTTCAGTCAAACGTGGAAATCATTAAAAAGTCAGCAATTGATTTTACCCTTAGTATGCACAGCAAACCAAATTTTTCAAGACATGATGTTAGGGATATACAGGAACAAGTGCAAACATTCTGTACAACAGTTGCAAATAGCATTGAAACTGTTAATTTTAACATCAACAACCCAGAGACACAACACCAATTGGATACATATTTGAAGCATATGAAAACGGGATTTGACTTCATTAAAACTGATTTCAAATTCTTCAAACAGCTGATGAGTTTAGGTATTTATATGCCACCAATTATTATTAGTTTGGAAAAGGATGGAGTGAGATTGTCACAAGTTGAAAACATTGATAGGAATGAGCGCAGGTCGTGTCTTGTATTGAACCCAATAGAGTTTCACATAAGAAAATTTTTTGAGAGTGGAAATATTTTCAATCAAACTGTAGAACACACAAAATTTCTGGAATTGTCCTCAAAAATAACAAACTTTGTTAATGCAAGTGTTTGGCAAGATGTGAAGAAAAAATATAATGTAAATGAAAATAATTACTTAATACCATTATGGCTCTATGCTGACGAATTCGAGATTAATGATGTGCAGAGTTCACACAACAAAATCGACTCGATTTGTGGAGTTTATTACAGTTTTCCTACTCTTCCAGATGAATACGTTTCAAAACTGAGCTCTATATTTGTTGCAGGAGTAATAAGGAAGCATGTTTTGAATAGAACAGGAGTCGATATATTACTAGAGCAGTTGATGATTCCACTTAAAAAGATTGAAGAGGAAGGTATCATGCTTCAAGTAAATGGACGGCAAATCAGAGCCAGATTTGTGTTTAGCCTTTTCCAAGGGGATAATCTTGGAATTCATGATATATTAATGTTTTCTACCAGTTTTAATGCAACATATTACTGCCGTTTTTGCAAGAGATTCAAACAACAATTACAAACTGACTGTGAAGAGCATGAGGATAGTTTGCGAACTGTTGAAAACTACGAAGAAGACGTTTTAGCAGATAAACATTCAGAAACAGGGATAGCAGGAGCTTGTTCATTTAACAAAATGCCTTCTTTTCACGTTATGGTCAACCTCACTGTAGATGCCATGCATGACCTTTTCAGTAACGGTGTTTGTAAATTTGCATTTACCTCTATTCTTAATAATCTGATATATACAAAACAGTGTTTAACGTTGTCCAATCTCAATGCACGAATGGCAATCGTTGCTAATGCGTCTACAGACATTGGCTTACGAAGATTGCAAACCATTGAAGCAGCATATGATAAAAAAAGAAAAGGAAAATCAGTTAAGCTACGAATGACAGCAGATGAAATGAGAGCGTTTTATCACAATTTTACAATTATAGTAGGCCCGTATGTTCCAACTGATGATCCTGTTTGGAAATATTGCAAGGTGTTGATACGAATGATAGATTTGATTCTATCATTAAGTTTTTCAATAGAAGATTTAAATCAGTTGGAAAAACTGATTGCTGAGCACCATCGTCTCTATCAAGACTTGTTTCAAGAGCATTTGAAGCCGAAGCAGCATTTCCTTAATCATTACTCAAAAGTTATTAAATCGTGTGGGCCCGTCACTCGTACGATGTGTTTTCGAAATGAGGCGAAGCATCAGAAGTTTAAAGAATACTCACATGTTATTTCTTCTAGACTGAATATAGCATATACCTTATGCATTAAGTCTTGTCTGCAGTTCACGCATGACTTGAATAATAGAAATTTTGAACCCACTCTCGTTGAAGGCAATTTTGTATACGGAACGCTGACCTCTAGACCGTATTATGAGCATGTTGATGGAAATTCACCATTTCACAAGGAGAAGACCGTAGGCTTTGGTTATTCTTGTAAATTCAAGGGAACGCTATTTTGTGGAAGTCAATTTGTGACGCAAACAGATGGGCACAGTTTAAAACTATTTGAGATAGAAGAGTGTGTGAATGATGAGAATACTGTTTATATAGTTTGCCGAAATTGGAAAATAAAAGGTTACGTAGAACACTATGTGGCATACGAAGCAATAGAAAGAGAGAAGACAATGTTATTAGTTAGCATAGAAGACTTAGATGGTCCACCATTCAGTTTACATGATGTCAATAACCAATTTGTATTTAGGAATAAGTATACGTTTGTCAAGTAGAGTTAAAAATATTTGTCAAGGAGATAAAATAAAATAAATGTAATAATAAGGGTAAATGACAGCTTCGGCAATACCTTTACATACTATCGTGAGGGGGGTAAACAAAGTCGTTGAGTGCTCAAATTTGACCAGTCGATGCTCTGAGACATGATGTATCATTATGCAAAAAATGGGTGCTCAAGGACTTCATTTACAGGGGGGACGATAATAGGTAAAGGTATTGTCAAAACCGTCGTTTACCCTATGTAATTAGGTGAATAAACACTATACTTAAAAATCCAAAATCACATTTTTTAGTACAGCAGCCTATTCTACTCACTAGTAAGGTGAGGTAACTAGTGAAGTGATCTTAGACACCTCGTGGAGTATCACGCCACCACGCGATAACTATTGTCACTTCACTCACTTATATTCACTCAATATAATAAATATAATAAATAATTGCTTGGTTTAACGGCTTTCTCAGTCTTAATCTCACTCTAAAGGCTACGATTTAATCTGCGATTAGGTTTTGGTTCATGGTCCATGGCCGAAACGTCGGGCAGTTTAAATCGTTGTCGTTAGAGAGAGATTAAGACTTAGAAAGCCGTTAAACTAAGCAATCATTCAAGTACTAGTCGTCACCATCACTAATATAGTAATTTATCAACTCAAACTATATTTTTCATTCATATCCGTTATGAGTTTCATACGAAATGACAAATGAAATTGTTCGTAATATCCAATGATAGCTATCGTTCGTTTGTATTGAGATTCATAGTTATATGCATGAAAAATCATACGATGGCTGATTGAAAAAAAACTGACAGTTCTTCATAGTTCGGTCGTATGAAATTCAACATAAAATCTTGTCGCAAAAAATCATACGATATTTCTATGAAATTCGTTTGATTAATAATCTCAGTGTACTCGCAGCTCCCGACATCGACAGCTTCTGTGGATTCCGAGGCACCGAACAGTCTTCGGTGAAAATCATCCATTACAAAAATGCATCAGAAGATTAAATGAAGTAAGCTATCAGTTCGACTATAATGTGACGAGAAATAAGTTTAAGACTCTAGTCAGATAGCTAATTCTGATTCAACCTACGCATATCGCTCGTCTGCCTAGGAAGGTTTGATACTTTCCGACAAACTCTCTTTGGAATGTGTCTATCAATGGCATACACCAAGGCATGGGAAAACGTGTGCGCAGCGGTCCCAATGATGTCAGAATCATCTCCTTAAGAAAGGTTAATCACTTGAATTAAATTCAATCAAATATAAAATGCTAGAGGTTTCAACAAAGAAAATCACCTACAAAACGCATATGCAACCACTCATTGTTTTGAATTATAGCACTTTTGAAAATAACAACATTTTATTCAAATAACTGTAAATGCATCTGTTCCACTTCTTCGTCCGTAAAACATATCACTGGCATGATTGACAATTCATAAAAATCGCACCCGTGTCGCTCTACTTCAAAATGCTCTCTACAACTTTAGACAGTTTCCTTGCCCCTTCTCCATTAGCTTCCCGATAGTACGGTAGCTGTTCCATCCGTCTCAGCCAGCCAAACGTTTTGGGAAATCTACAAAGCAAATAAGCAACAAAACCAAATGACGCGTGACGCGTGAGCACAATTATGTAATCGAAAATCCACTTACCTTTCGCGACTGATCGGTAAAATAGCATCGAAGCTGGAAACGGACGAAACGCAACTCAGATCGGCCAGGGTCATCCGATCTCCGGTGTAGTAATCCGCTTGCAGTGTATCCTCCAGCAACTGAAGTCCTATGTTGAAGTAGTCCACATTCACCGGATCCAGTTCCGTCTTCAGACCGCGAATCACCGGTGACTTTGTGAATTGAAATCGTCGGATAAGTTTAGTCCAAAACTAAACAACAACAATAAAGAACACTCACGATCAACAGCTTCAATCGGCTGAACAGCACTCCGGAGTTGAAATGCAACCCGGCATTCACCTTAGCCCTCGCGAAGGGATCACTCGGAAAGAGATCTTCACTGTTTGCGTAAACCGTTGTCAGGTAGACATTGATCGCTTGGCTGTCCCAAATGAACTTTCCATCGTCGTCGATCATTGGGATCGTGTGCTGAGGATTCTTGCTGAGGTACTCCGCTTTCAGAGTATCGTTCCCCAGCAGATCGATCGATATGACCTCGATGTCCAGATTAATCGCTTTCGCCGTAAGTTCCACAGATCGCCCAGGAGGGCTAATGGGATTGGTGAAAAGCTTAACGCGCTTGTTGGCAGCCATCCCCTGTGAGGCGACGGATCGCAGTCTAACGAGACGAGAGAAATTCGGCAATAATCTACTTGTTATCATTTTCACAATTTCAAAAGCAAACACGACTGATAAAGACGAGGTGCAAACATAGACTGTTTTTTTTTTCTTTATTTAGATTTTTTAATCAACCAGTGTTGCCAAATTTAATTTAATTTATTTCTTTTTGTTTTCCTCCAACTTTTGCTGGAAGAAGTCGAGAGCTTCCGCAGCACGATCGGAATTGAATTCTTTGTAGTTGGGCATATTTTGCTCTAATCGTTGTA